AATAGGACTGTTGAGACAATACTACTATTTTTAGTATTGCAACTGAGATAATATTCTTGGAGAAAAATAATGATACTTGTTATTATAAAAATTCTTATTTTATAGATAAAGAAACTGAGGCTTAGATAAATTAATCTGATTGGGAAGAAAGAGTTACAAAACAAACCCCAAGAGGAATAATCCTTTATTTGGAAATTATAATATGTATGATATAAACTAAATATTGAAAAATATTAATTTGGATAACTAGTCATGACTTCTATAATATTTGGAAAAAAGTTCAACAGTGATTTTCAATATTTACATACCTTGCTTCAAGTCTCTGTGATGATGGAAATGTTTTGCTTTTCTTGTGATTCGCTTCTTAAACAATTATTTCTGGTCTACTTGACTTTGAAAATACATAACATTTTTCAATCTGTGACTATTGACACAATTTTCAGGCTTTTAAACATATTTGCAGAGGCCTTTTTTTGTCACATAGACCTACACTACTTGTAAAATAAGGAAACAATACAGATTAGCAAAAATAAAGTATGTAAATTGTAAGTTTATGTAAATTGCCCTCAACTGCAATATTCTACAAGCTATTTCTCCATCATGAAACTGTGTTCCAATATTCCTTGGAATAAAGAAATGGCATAGGGATTAGGGCTTGTGGTAGAAAAAGAATTACAACATGACATCAATTGTTAAAGGAAAAAAAAATCAGTGTCACTTGTGCTTAAGGAGCATATGGTGATCAGATCTTACTTGAGAGATAGTGAAGGATGAAAAATTTGGTCATTTGTCACAAGTAGGGGTTCTGCTTAAACTGACTTAGCAGAGTTCTCGCTAAATTGAACAATGCAGAGCTGGATATGCATCTGAAAGTCAGATCTAGTTGATGTAGAGGTTTAGGGAGCCTCAGGGCAGCTTACCCAAGGAGAGGGTGTATTTGACCATCTTTATCTTACAATTTCTTCTATAGTCACTGATTCTGAATTTGGTGAATTGGGCAGGGCATGTAAAGATAAGTATAAGAAATCCATACAAGAATATTCAGAGGAAACTATTTCCTTTGCAGATGCATCAATGGAAATTCAAATTTCCAGAACCAGAAAAGTTTGACTCCAGTTTATTCCTTTTTACTTTCACCTCTAACCTGTAAAATAGCCAAGATAAGTCCAAAAAACGTAGCAGAGATAAGAAAATGTGCCCAAGTGACCTCATTTAACTTTGAGATAAGGATACTAGGCTGGGAGTAGGACTCATGCAAAGGCTGGAGATGACTAATTGCTAAAATTTTCTAGATAAGATATGATTTGTTTCCTTTCGTCTCACGAGAAATGGTATGCATTTTTGCTCTATTTTGCAAGGAACATTTCCCACCCTCCACCCTGTTCATATATGTGATATTTGTTGAACATGCATTTAATGGTCATATTGACCACATGGGCTCTAGCTGGTTCCTTCTATAACCATAAACTTTCTAGTCCTGGGAGGAGGTGCTATGGTAAAGACAGAATGAAGGAAGCTCAAACCACTGCAGGACTGTCTAGGTGTAAAGAGAGAAAAGGAATACTGCAGCCTGGGTCTCCTCTACCTCCAGCCATCCTTACCACTTCTCAAGGGCACAGGAGCCGGGGACATGCATTCCTCTGCAATACTGCCCTGGGTGTCAGTATGTGGGCATGATTTGAGAGCTAACAAGTGAATGACTGGCTGAGCCAACAAGTTCTGCCACACCAAATGGGCCTCTCATTAAGCAAAACTATGGTTGGCCAGGAAGCTGAAACACAGGCCAAGTGCTGGCATCAACAGGATCTAGTTAGTCACGGATCATTTGCAGACGTCTGCTATCATATATTTTTTATTGTGCCATCCATTTGTTATTAAAAATTTAATTGGCAAAAATATATCGCATATATTCAATTTGTACAATGTGATGATTTAATAAGTATATACATTGTTTACTGAAGATGAAACATTTTTTATTTGCCTTGATTTCTTGCATGCTTATTTATTTTTATGAATTTGTGTTTAACATCTGTAAACAAAGTAACAGATTCAAAAGACCACAGATGAGAAAATACATGTATAATGGTGTATACTTAAGAAGAAATGATTACATAATTGACATTTTGTTTTCTGTTTGTTCTTTCTCATTGGAATATTTTTTTTTTAAAGTACTGGAACTGCAGAATGAAATTAACCAAATTATGCTATGTGCATGTATGAATATATCACTGTGAATCCCACTTTTATGTATAACTGTAAATGTGGTAATTAAAAAAGTAAATTGAAGGAAGATAAGTGAAGTAGAGGGAGGAGGTCAAGGAGAGGGAGGAGGGGAAAAAAGGGGAAGTACCAAGAAATGAAATGAAGAAAATTATGGTATATTCACTGATGAATATGTCACAATGAACCCCTCTACTAAGTGTAACTATAATGCACTAATAAAATATAATGTAATAATAAAATATCAAAATATAATGCACTAATAAAATTTTGAAAAATTGATTTTACAATTAGGTTAAAAAGAAAAAAAAAACAATGTTTTGTTTCCCAGGCTTATTGTTACTATGTGGTGACTGAAACTTATCTTTTTTTTTTCTTCAGATTTTTGCATAACAACAAATTATCTACAATCCCAGCTCGGAGCTTTTCTCATCTGGATTCATTAAAAAGACTGTAAGTAAGAGCAAACCCATGAAAACAAAAAAAAAACTTGTAATTTTCTCCGAAATAAATAAATCCTAAACAACGATCAGCTTTGCTTCCTTCTGCTGTGAAAGATCACTGCAATTCTAGTGTATTAAGGAGAAAATGGGTTTTTTTTTTTTTTGAACTGCAGAGTGAAAGAAGACCCAGATAGTCTACTGAGCTGAGATTTCATGTATTCCCTTAGAAGTGACATTCAAAAGGAATATTGAAGATAGAAGTTTTCCTCACTGGTCAATTTCCTTGCTGGCCAAATCGAAAGACTCTCAAGACTTTTCTTTTCCTTTAAGTTTTTATTACAAAAAAAAGAGATGTGAGATATACCATAGACAGTCCGACTCCTGCACCGAGGCTTCAGTTTTCCCTTGTTGCACATAAAATTATCAGTCCAGGGCATTTACTCCCACATTAAATAGAATGAGACAAAATTCCCAATCTTCTGATGGTTCCCCACTCCAGAGGCTTTCCTGCTCCTGTCTGTCTTCCACTTTGCCTCACTTTCTACCTTCCCATGTGAACCACTTTTCTGCCCTCTCTTCACCCTCTTCTGTGTGTACTCTTGCACTGATAATGTTTTATTTTTGTTATTTTGTTCCCTCAGTACACAGACATAAGTTCTAGTGATGGGGTGAAGGACAGACTCGACTCGCTGCTCCCCAGATACCAGCTGGTGAATACAGAGTGGAAAATTCACGCTCTCAGTTACCTTCCTTGGAGGCCAGTTTTGTGGCAGTGGCTCTTCTGATAGGGTGTACCTTGATACAGGTTCATGAGTAAAGGGGATGTTAAGATTAAGTAAAAAATCAGAACCCCGAGGAACATAAATTTGCATTTGATTCCAGTCTAGAAACAATTCTTGTAATCTGTGAACTTAAAGAATAATTAATAATCAAGAGGACAGTGCATCCACTCCTACCTCATTTCTTCAAGTCCATACTGCTGATGATATCCTTGGCACTTCTCATAGCAGCCACACACACACAATGCTGCCTCATCATTTTTGGGCTGTGTCCTTTGTGTTCAAACCCACAAAAGGCTTTGATTGATGACTCTCTTTATTTTGATCAATGTTTTCCTACTTGTCAGAACTGGTTGTATCACAAGCATTTGGAATAACACACTTATTTATTCTTGCTTTTTAATCGTGTGTGGGAAATGCAAAGTACCAAGACATTTTGTAACACCGATAGGATGCTTCAGTTTGGGGGGTGGGAGAAAATTGTGTTTTATTTTTAACTTGCCATTTTTCCCTTTGTTAGATTTGTGATATCACTTACAGTTAGAGTCACTGTCATATATTTGCAATTATAATGCCTCTTGTCTACATAGGTTTCTACCTGAGTCTCATTCTTGGCTTCTAAGATGCTCAGAAAGTCTTGAAGTGCTAAATCCCTTAGCTTTTCTTAATACCTTCCTATTATTCTTTCTTAGTAGCGGCTTTTCTGTTCCAACTTCTTGCATTTTTTTTTTTTAAAGACTGCATTCACTCCATTGCTGGAACATATGTGCAAAAGTAAATGTTAGTAAGCAAGTGGCTGAGGGAGACCCTACTAACAGGGGTGTACCAGTATTTTACATATTTGCACTGTATTTATTTAAAATGTTTTAAAGTAATTTTTGTTAGTATGTCATATTGATGATCTACTTTTATGAATAGAAAACTGACATACAGATGATCTGAGCAAATTGCTCCAGGATTCACAAAATCCTGATCATTCTGAGACAAGGTGAACACTAGCATCTAGTTATCCCAATTCCTCAAAAGTGTGTCCTACCCAGACTATGATTTAGATGAGAAAAACATAAACAGGAGAGTGATAGGCACTTAATAAATGAGCTATACGTACTAACAAATAAATTCCACTTTCAACAGTGAAGTTCATCAACAACTGGGGAATGTCAATCACCAGTAGTGCCGGGATGGGAGTTGGGGGGTGTCCCTTAGCGAAACCAGCAAGAGTCATATTTGACAATCACCACTTCATCCTGGGTTTGACCTAGTGGAAGTCCCCTGGCATTGGTCTCTCCATCTATATTTCACAATGTTTCTTACAGGCATACTATAAACATTGATAGAATGCCTTAAAAGTGTTTTGAGATCTTTAAGTATGAGCAATTATGTAAGTACAAGTGATATATTATTGTATTTTCAAGCAGAAAATATTAATATACTGGGCACCTTTTTACCTTTGCCAAGTGAATTTTAGTCTTGTGATCCTTGATTGAATACTGTCAGAAGGAAATTATGTTTTATTATTCTTGGTGTAATATTTGATGGAAGAACACTTTTAAAATGGAAAGTAATAAAATGGTAATGATTTTAACATAGTATATTACAGCACTTAGTGTAGTCTAATATAGGTTAGTAAAAACCATCTTTCTCATTAATTTATTCTATAGATTTTTTTCAAATTGAAAATGTTACCATAAATTAAGGCACAGCATTTTAAAAAAATGCTTTTTCATTATAAGTTTGTAAATACTCTATTTACAAAGGGTCTCCCCAAAAGATTAGCATAGAAAAGTATAGTTCTAGTACTATGTTAAATATTTTCTAAGTATAAAAGGAGTTTTTAAACTGGTAAATGAAAATATACATATGGTGGTTTCACTTATTTTTTGGTTTCAGTTTATGGATGAATATCTTAACTGAAGTGGACAGTAATATAAGAAGATACTAAATCCTGAGCTCAGTTGTTACAAAACACGCAGATGTAAGGATACCTAAGAAGTGTGATCATTGACTAGTGGAGAGTCACTAAGTCAGCAGTGATGACTTCTGAGAATGGAACATTCTGGAATGTTAAGGTCCTATGCCTGCGATGCTCCCAAAGGATTTATATCAACATCCTTGCTGTGTTCAACTCAGAGCAATGTCATGTTGATATTGAAAGTAAAGGCATACTCTTTAATATATGATGGTAGACTACCTTTAATAAAATTACCAGAAATTAAACTTGAAATGCAAATGTGCACTTTGGACACAATAATGCCGAAATAGATGCTTTTTAATGAAGCAGCTGATAAAATAAATCAGTTGGTAACAAGGAACAACCAAGGACACTAAACCAACAATGCATCCTTGAATAAGGGCTGGTCTAATATTTTACGCATATATTACTCAGGACAAGGCTGAAAACACTCTCTATTATAGCTATAGCTTTATTTTCTCAGTTTTGTTTGAAGTCTTGTTGGAAATATTAGGCAAATAATAGCTGTACCATTAATTTTTCAGTGAGTGTGAATTTTTTCCCTTGACGTTAGCATTTTAAAACTACTGAACAGCTATTTTTTCAGTGTACTATAATAAAATGTAAATAAATATAACAATCTTAGGAACCAATCATCTATAGTACATTCCACAGACCTGTCATTATATTAAGTTTCCCTTAAATTCATTAAAATGAAGACATATTTTAAAAAATATTCTAAATTCTAAATCTAGAATATATCATGTTTTTTTTTAATTTCAGGTTTGTTTGTTCCAGTAACTTTATATTAATGCAAATTCCTAAATTAATACTAGGTGATCTTTTATTCAATTTTCATATTGATTCCTATAGATTTCATTTTTGTTTGTTTTCCCACATTTTTAAACAACTTTTTGTACATGTGTAATCCTGATTAAAAGTTATTAAAAAATCAATATTTTCTATTCTGCTTCAGACTTGTAGAACACATCCTTATGGTAGAGATATTCAGCCTCATAACAGGCCTCCTCCCTATCCTAAATACATTCATATTATCCTTATTTCATTAGAGTTTTCTTTCATTGAGTGACCAACCTGATTACTTCCATAGGAGGAGGTCAGAATTCCTTTTAGACAAATTCCCTTTTTAATTTTTTGGGAAGGAATAGAAGGAGAATTTATCATATCTGGGTTTACATCTTGTTCTACATCTTTTGAAAAGAATGAAGATGTATATAATCAATCTCTTTGGCTACCTATCAATTTTATTTCCTGAGTAAAACATGCTAGAAAGGATTAAAAAATATGTAAAACTTGACAAAAGTGAGAAACTTGTGTGTCTAGGTGAAGAAATATCACAAAATGTTCAGTTTCTGTCCTTTAGAGAATACAGGCTTATCCATGCAGATGCTAAGGAGGTTTACAAAAGATAAGAAGGTCAGGTACCTGGCGCATGCTGGTATTTCCAGCAATTCCAGAGACTGAGGCAGGAGAATCTCAAGTTCCAGGCCAGTTTAAGCAACTTAGTGAGACTGGTTCACAATTAAACAAAACGAAAAAACAAAACAGGACTGGTGAAATGGCTCAATACTAGAGCACCCCTGGGTTCTATCCCCACTACCCGAAACCCCCAACAAATAAAACCAAAAAAGTCTGATGGGAGAGAAAGAAATGAATCAAATAACCCCAACACACACATACACACAAAGAAGGAGTCAGCTGGGCAGCTGCATGAATCTTACATAAAAATACATTGATAAACCTCCTTTGAGCCAATGGAGCCTCTAATATTTAAGTAATCTCCATGAAAAAGTTGAAATATCACCATCAAGTCATAGTTTTTGCTCTTTATCATAGAAACAAACTCTAACATTTCAATACTTTTCTTAATTTTCTCTAAAACAAATAATTACAGTTCATCCCACAATTAATAATTTGTAATTAATATATTGTATGTACGGTGGAAGTTGCTTTTCAAGTCTTAACTTGGATTTGTGCGATATATGCAATTAAGTAAGCACTTCTTTTTTATTATTATTTTTATGGAGACATAATATTTGTATATATTTATGGGTGCAGTAAAATTCTATATATGTGGACAGTGCTTTGGTAATGATCAAATCAGGGTAATAAACACTTCCATTTCCTCAAACGTTAATCATTTCTTCATGCAGGGAATTTTTGTTAAGTAAGCAATTCTTAAAATGTGTCTATTGGTAACTAGAGATCCTAGAGTTGAGACATGAGTGATATGGTAAATTAGAGAAAATTAAATATTTTCAAATGAAAGATTCATCATAGAAATTAATGGTCACTTTTAACAGTTATAATTCTTGCCTGCATGCACAGGCGTCTGGATTCCAATGCTCTGGTTTGTGACTGTGATTTAAAGTGGCTGGGGGAACTTTTACAAGGCTATATCCAGAACGGCCAAACTCAGGCCGCTGCTACATGTGACCACCCCCGAGGACTCCATGGGCGCCCGGTTGCGTCAGTAACAGTGGAGGAATTTAATTGCGGTACGTAACATTCTCTGAGTATTAAAAAATATATATATTTTTTCGTTGTCCTTATCCTGCAGAGGTTAGTAAATGATGTTGCAATTGCAAGGGCACATTATCAAACATGTTTAGAAGGGATTTGGTTGAAAGGATTTCCAATTTCCTTTGCATCATCTACACTTTTATTTAAAGAAGTTGTGGTATTAGAAACTAAGGTTTGGGAGAGACCCTGGGGGTCACTTAATTCCAGAGACAAAATACAGAGAAGTAGTGTCCAGCCTCAAACTCTCCATCGCACTTCAATATCACTTAGTGCTGAACATGAATAATTTCTGTTTCTTAACTATGTCAAATAATTGCTAATATTCATTGCTAAAAATATCCTTCAATAAATGCACATGAGACCCTGAATATGACTGAAGTGAAAATAAGAATCAGTTTTACTATCTCTCTGTAAATTTTTTAGTAATGTAAATCTTGTATTTAATAAGCATATTTTTATAGTCAGATAAACCTTAATAAAATAATCAGGCTTTATGTAAAGAACTGATTATTGTTGCTTAGTATATCATTTAATTTTCATTTAAAGCTTTGATATAACTATTTAAAAAGTTTCTATATTTCTGTATCCATCCCTACATATAGCTTTAAATGAAAATAAATTAAAACATACAAACATAAATACTTATATGCGGGTGTGGGGGAGAAGAGGAGAGAGGGGAATTTAGCTTCTTGGAAATTCATGCAGATGACTTACTTACAGAAGAAATTTGCTTTCTAATATCCTCTCACTGAAAAGCCATTTAAAAAGTGTCTCTAAACAGATAATTTAAAAAATCAAATTGATATAATTTAATTCTGTCAAATTGAGAAGAAAAATGACTTTGTCTTTGCGGCCAAGTAATTCTCACGTTGGTCACATCTTTACTACCGTTTGTATTTCACATCACTGTTGTTTTGTGTGGATCACAAAGTGTCTTCACCCAGGTCTCAACTTTCATTTTTCTCTCTTTGTTCTGTTTTATTTGGAAAAATCTTTTTTTTTTTTAAATTTATTTGCTTACATCATTCTTCTGCACATAATCCTTCTATCGCTGCCTACCTCAAAATAAAGCACAGCATCCTTCCAAGGTCACATTTCCATTTTGCACCCCAGGTTGTCCTCTGCAACCTCCATCCGTTCTCCTCTTCCCTTACCGGGTGGTGTTGCTGCTATGACATGCATTTTTGAAAATCCTTAAACCTTTTCTCCATGCAAGGATTGTCCACATGCTGCTTTTTTTTTTTCTTACACTATTCTTTTTCTACATCTTCGTCTTCTTATAGTCCTCTCCTAAGTATTAGTTACTTGGAAAGGCTCTACTCAATCTCCCTTCCACTCAGCTACCTGGGCTTACAGGTAGGTACGTCAAATTCCTTCTCATAATCTGTGAAAGTGTCCCTTGTTCTGCAGTTTAGCATCAATCACAGTTGATTATCTGTACTTTTTGGTGTTTGATTAATTTTAATTGCTTCATTGAAAACATAAACATGCAGGTTCAAATGCCTTCTCTGCTTTGATCATGGTTACATCACATGATGATGAATTATTCCTTAAAATAAATACTCAAATGTGTAAAGTCAAAAGGGTCAAGCCAAGTCGTAGATCAGATGGACTTAAACGAAGTAGGTAAGATTACTCAAGATCTGTGCAATGTAATAATAGGTATGATCATTAATGAGAAGAAATTTCAAATAATTCACTTACAAAAGGAAGAATTTTGTCATTTAGAAAGGTTTGAATCTCTAAACTTATGGTAAAATTCAAGTAAAGTCTTAAGTAAGACTATTTAAGATTACCATAAAAAGTGAATATTCCTTTTTTACACTGTTCTCTATAGTTTAAATTTAATAATATTGAATTCTTTTAAAAAATCAATCACTTCACTTTCTTATTGAAATGATTCAAATATTCCCATGTTTTTCCACTTAATTCTTATTGAGAATGGTATCATTTATTTATATTGATAAGTAATTTTGCTTAGATTTGAGATCTAGATGCATAAATTCTCATAAATTATTTTAAACAGTCAGATAGCTAATGCCTTGGGATAGTGCTTACAAAATTGCAAACTCAGTTCAGGTACTTGGTTTGAAAAATTGATCCATAAAAATCAAACTTTTTCCATAAATGTGATTGTATTGAACTATACATAAATAGTTCAATATGTTTTACCTCTATAAAAATACAGGTAAATTTCCTTAAATTACTTTTATGTAGTAACTCTCAAACTTCTAAGGTTGAAATCAAATATATGTCTAATAAGTAAACTGGTATGTGTATTACTTGGTTACTTGGTTAACGCAGTTTGATCTGTAAAACTTTAACATAGAAAGAAAATTATTTACAGCATTTTCACAACAATAATTTAGAATACTATAATTAGATAACTTTTTAAAATACTAATAATTTTTTGTTGTTGTTGCAGAAAGTCCCCGAATTACTTTTGAGCCCCAAGATGTGGAGGTAACCTCAGGAAACACTGTCTACTTCACCTGCCGAGCTGAAGGAAATCCCAAACCTAAGATTACATGGATACATAACAAGTAAATACTGAGTGTGGGCACGTGTTGTAATTCTATGTTCAATTTCCAGTAATCTCTTATCTTACTTCAAATAATTTATTTGGAGAAGAAATTAGTAAAATTATAAGAATTTGTTAGAAATAACAGTATCTTTTAATTCTTATTTTTTGACTTGATTAAGCTATCTGGGTGACTTTTCCTTAAAAATTTTATTTTTGTAGGCATCAAACATTTTGGAATTGACTACAATAATTTTGTATTATTTCTAGAAGGAATTATTGGGATTAACAACCAACTATTTGTTTTAAATCAAAATATAACTTGATATTGTCTCATCTAAAGTATTTTAGGTACAAAATATTTCATATTTGATGGTTCAAGTTTTCTATAGTAAATCAGAATAGGTTTATGTAAGTGAATTAATAATAAAGGCTATGCAAGATTATTTAAAATACTAGTCATTGATTTAATTCTCATTAAAAGGATTATTTGATAAAACACAAAACTGGAAGTCCTAAGACCTATGAATAAAAAAATTACATAGCAATAACAAAATTTTTTAAAGTTAAAATAAAAATGCTATAAGGAATATTTAGCTAACATAAATACATAAATGAACTTTATTCCTGATAAAATTGCATTAAAGTTCTTGGACTTAATAATATCATTAATTATGTTATTGATAACTAGCAAGGTTTTTGTGTATGTCTTCTGTCATGAGTAAAATAAACTCTGAATTTTTATGTATTTCTCTTTGAAAAATGCTGAGAGATATTATAAATAGTGTGTATAGTTTTAATTTCTAATTTGAGTGAGAATCTCAGATCAAGTTGCTAAAATGTGTTTTTAACCCTTGAAGAAACTAACAAGAGTAGGTTAAAAATAACTTGCATGGATGATAATTGCTAATACTATTAAACTGAGAATGTAGCCCAGAAGGAAGACTCAATTGATAAAAGACTTCAATTTATTTCCATTTTGAAATTGTTCAAGGGCACTTGAGAAAAAGAAATTGCTGCTTGTTATATCTTAAAACTGCTTGCTCTGACTTTTTTCTTAGTTTAAATTTAGAAATATATGTTCAAAGTTATAAAGCTACTGAGGAGTATTTTGAAAGGAATAAGTAAAAAAGTTATATTGCCTAATAAAATTCATAAAGTTTTCAAATAAAGTGACTAAAGAAGCCAAGGGATTCAAAAGGAAATAAATATATCTAAAAAGAAGGAATGAAATGATGGGAAGATAAAGAATAGGTTGAAATTCCTGTTAAAATTTTAACCAATTTATACAGAAAAGTTAAAGACAAAAGGGAAGAGTTTATGACAAGACTATTTTTAATTAAC